AACCACCCTAACCCTGCCTACTGATACCCTAGGAACCACCCTAACCAGGGCTGTCTACTGATACTATAGGAACCACCCTAACCATGTCTACTGATACTATAGGAACCACCCTAACCCTGTCTACTGATACCCTAGGAACCACCCTAACCCTGTCTACTGATACTATAGGAACCACCCTAACCCTGTCTACTGATACCCTAGGAACCACCCTAACCCTGTCTACTGATACTATAGGAACCAACCTAACCCTGCCTACTAATATCCTAGGAACCACCCTAACCCTGTCTACTGATACTATAGGAACCAACCTAACCCTGCCTACTAATACCCCTTACAACCACTCTAACACCAACTACTGAACCGACAAACCCACTTTGATACAAACTCTAACACTGCTAATTAATTAACCCCCTCAGAATCAGATTCACCCTACACCTAACCCTGAACACCTATTCTCACTCTCAAACTATCTGAAAACTTCGGAACTATAATTACCACTACTACAGTGGTCCCTGCTTTATCGAGCCTCAAATAGTCGGAAGCATCGATTAGAACTTAAAACTGAAATTTGAAAAACAATCTTTACGCATGTTGTTACGTGATCAACGCATAATTGGGACCACTGCTTAATTGTGACATTTCATGATTCTTGGACCTGTCCCAAGAAAGCAGCACCCACTGTACTAGTACTAGGGGTGGGATGATATGGGTAGCACACAATATGATCCATGTCACGATACAGCCTTCACAATATGATACGTATCTCGATACATTCAAAAGAAACTAACTGGCAAACTATACACTCAATCAGGGTTCTACCAATCATCCGAACACTTACAATTTAATGAATCAGTATCACGGAGCACTAATAATACAAACACAACTGCGATGAATCGCAAATTGTGTTAAGTTTCTTTTGTTTTTGCATTTTGGATGAAACTAGACTACAAAGTGATATAGATTTTAGTCAGCAGAGTATCGATACGTGTATCGTGAATATTCAAACCATCGATACATGTATCGTCAAGGTGTGTATCTCAATACATCGATATATCGATGAATCGCCCCACCCCTAACTACTAGTACTAGTAGTAGTAGTACTTAGTAGTACTGGTAGTAACACTAACACTGTTCGTCCTCTGTTACACTGGACTATGACGTACGTAATACACAGTTTTACTAGTGCAGTGGTAGTATTACCAATACTGTGTTGTGTACTGTGACTGCTACTGTTATTTCCGCTCAAGGATAGAGAGCATGGTTGTGAGAGCAAAGCCGATGTGTTACGCTACATAGTTCTCAATCTCGCCATGCTCTCTATCCTTGTACCGTTATGTCTACTACTAGTACTGGCTCAAGGATAGAGAGCATGGTTGTGAGAACAAAGCCAATGTGTTACGCAACATAGTTGTCAATCTCGCCATGCTCTAGTAGTAGTACTAGTAGTAGTAGTAATACTAATACTATTATCATTACTGACCGCTGCCAGTGGCACTGTGCGTGTTAGTGTTAGTGAATAGTGTTAGTAACAGTGCCACTGGCAGCGGTCAGTAATGATAAATAGTAGAAATAACAGTAGCAGTCACAGTGCACAGTATTGCCTATTGGTAATACTACCACTGCACTAGTAACACTGTGTATTACGTACGTCATAGTCCAGTGTAACAGACGACGAACAGTGATTACATCACATCGACATTCACATTGGACATGTAAATACAGTAACATACTTGATTAGCCTTGTTCAACTGCTTTTTAAACCCCGCAAGAGACATCTTGTATGATGATAGTCGTTGATGTATCACTATAAATAGGCAAGCGTCGAATCAAGTACAATTAATTATCTATAAACCGATAAAACGCAAATAAAGTCGAGTAACAACATCCGCCCGTTCACTCGGAGTGTTGTATATCCTTTTGTGGTGATGTCATGTACATTTCGTGGTTGCCTCGTGATGTCACGACACAACAGCAAAACCTCTCGGTTGTGGTGCCATCTAGTAGAGAAATATGATAGAAACGCACGATATCGTACACAGGCGCATACAGTGACAAGAGATAATAGAAAAAAATATACAAATACTCTATTTAAACGCTGATATGCACAACACTTAATAATAATAAGGACATATACCACCGTGAAAAAAAAACATGCAACGTGTCATGATCTGTAGAATGTTCCGATCAAGTTTGGAGAGGATCCGTTGAGCGGTGCGGAAACGTATACGGTCTACTGATAACACAATTCAATTCAACACACTGACAGAAATTCCCCAATTTATAGTAAGATGCTAACTATGTGTTTTTCTCTTTGCCAGGTATCTGCTACGATCTTTTTTCCTCTTTTTTATTTTTGCTCTATCTTTCGTACATTTCTTATTCGCTTCTTTTTTTATAATTTAAATTTTTGCGTTCCTCATAATCTGTAGCCCTGTTCCACCCTACATAGATTGTCTCTTCGACAGAGTTAAATCTTTCTGCTTCTTATTTATTCAGGGCAACGTCACAACACGAAAACACAATGGCAATGTAAAAAACAATGTGTATAATCAAAGGCGCTCCATCTAAGATTTTCTAAGTCGCTCCATCTAATCTAACCAGAGAAATGTTATACCTTGTTTTTACATTGTTTCTTAAATGGAGCGCATTTCGTTATAACATAAGTCAAAGTTTCCAGACGGCAAAAAAGGACACAATTAAACGTTCCATCATGAACAATGTGGTATACACAGAAGTTCTGACCACCTAGACCACCTGACCGGGCATAAAAAGAGAAAACTGATGACAACGAAGCAGAAAATCAATTGAAGAACGGAGAAACACAAATACAAAATGCTGACGAGTTAACTGGAATAAAAAAATGATGAGGCGGGGTTTGAGGTAAAGATACCGCAAAGAGAGACACACAAATCAAAATCCGTTATAAGAGAAGCGTGTAAATGGCGTCTGTGACACTTTCCGCCCTCTCTCTCTCTCTCTCTCTCTCTCTCTCTCTCTCATTCTCTCTCCTCTTCTCTCTTCTCTCGTCTCCTCTCTCACTCTCTCTCTCACTCTCTCTCTCTCTCTCTCTCTCTCTCTCTCTCTCTCTCTCTCTCTCTCTCTCTCTCTCTCTCTCTCTCTCTCTCTCTCCATCGCTAGCCTAGCTTCCCCTCCTTTCTTTTGTGGTACACACCATTTATCATTATTCTTCTCAGTTTCTTTGCTAGGCAGAATCGGTCAGTCATAAACACGTCTGTACCCACCATGCGGTGGTATATATTGACAATGCATCCGTATGCAGACAGCGTAAATCAATACGATTATACAGTTGAAGGTACGCGCTCCTTCAATAATCCTAATTAAAAGACCTTGGTGAGCGATGATACAGGTGTTATTTTTGCCCAAGGCGAGCTGTATCTAGGTGGCAGAAGAAGCTAATATCCCTAAAAGCAGACTTGCGGAAGTACGTCTTGTTTCTCTTTGAACACGCACAACGTCTTTGTCGTAGAGTCCACGTCTTGTGTCTGTGTGTGTCTGTGTGTGTCTGTGTGTGTGTGCGCGTGCGTGCGTGCGTGCGCGAGTGCACACCCGTGCGTCCATTGGAGCATATGTGTATAATGGAATGTGTAATAATGTTCTAGCATTTGTGTTTTTAGACGTGTACTGCATATAATACAATGACGAATCAACCGTGTTGATCGAGCCGCGTGATGCCGCTTACAAACATGACAACAAATACATACATACATACATACATACATACATACATACAAACGTAAACAAAATAATGATGCATGGTTTTTGTGCTACAGTACGGTATAGTGCCATGTTTTTGTCGTTATGCCTAGTTGTTTCGTAAGCTGATATTTTTTTTTATAAACAGCTGTGTATAGAACATGACCGTATAGAGAGAGATAAAATAGTGTGCGTTATGCGTCATGCATTTCGGTCTTCGCGTTGGCTCTCGCACTGTAGCTTTATGTCGTCACGCTAGTTGAAATGCGGTGATTTTAATCCAATTACCGTTGAAAAATCGCACATGTTCCCCGCAGGCTAAGCAGCAAGTGACTACCTTGCGCGTTGTGATGCGTGGTTTTAGTTTATTTTCCCCGCCAGATGGCAGAACGATGTCAGATGTTGCGGAGCCGTATATACGGCTCTATATACGGCTCTGAGATGTTGGCATCAGCACACTCGTAGCTGCAATCCCCATGGGCCATGGTGGCACTTATTGCGAACGCAACGGCTTTCTATTTTTAGCGAACCTACGTACAGTTCTTGCGCACAACCACACATAATAAGTAATATAACATGTGTGAACAGATCTTAGCCAAGGACATGGTACGATTTATTGCCTCCTTGCCCAAGGCCTTCCGCAATCGCCTCCTGCATTTCCGGGCCCTGTGAAGAATCTCGAATTTATTTCAACTAAAACTATTTTTTATTCGCGTCTTTAATAGTAATTGTATTTAGCCGCATTGTATGTATATTTTATTCATTTACTGATATTGGAACTTTCTATTTTAGTTAAGTACTGTAGGATACAAATAAAAAGATAAATAAGAGAGGCATATAAACAACATGCCTTGAGCAAAAAGCAGTCGTTACAATTCGAAGTGATACTGCACATATGCATACATCCGCTGGGTTTGGGATTTTATCGAAATCATTACACTGGGAATCCGTTGCAGAATACGATGAAGTTGTAACTACAAACTGCAATTATATCTGTCTAATTATCTACACACCTAACACTAAAATAGTACACACCAGTCTATAGTGTTTTGTGGAAACGAGTTTGTATGTATATTGTGATGGACTGTAGTTTATTAATGTACATTGTGAAGTCTCTGAATTACTATGGCACTATCTACTGCACTGTGACATTACAAATGGTGGGCTCATGGAGCCAGACTCGTTTTACCCAATTATAATGTCGCTGTTAGTAATAAACAACTGCATATAATTAGCATTTGCTTGTAGGTTTGAAGTGTGTGCCAGTGCGCACGTGTGTACACGCGCACGCACGTGTGACTCTCTCTCTCTCTCTCTCTCTCTCTCTTTCTCTCTCTCTCTCTCTCTCTCTCTCTCTCTCTCTCTCTTTCTTTCTCTCTCTCTCTCTTTCTTTCTC